GCGTGTTCCGTTCCTCATCGACGTTCTCCTAAGCCAACTTCAAGTTGTTCGAGTTCTCGGCCAAGCAACAACCCACACGAATCGGCAAATATTCACAAGCACTGCCCTTGATCCACGGGATGCGCAGAATTGCGCGGCAAGTATATCACTTTCCTTACATTGATTTCAGAGTAGGTGGCCTTCAGCTGGGAATCCATAAACCACCAAACTTAGGGTAACTTGTGCCCTACTCTCAATCCACTACTAATAAGGTCACAAATGGGCAATGCCTTCAATCACCTGAAACCAAACTCCCAAGCCCCGGATTGGAACTTGATGGAGTTCTCCGGTCCGTTCTTTGGTCCCGAACTCCATGACTGTTGAACTCCGAACTGCTTGGATTGTCCAGGAACCTGGAAGGGTTCCAACATCTCACCAGTTTGCGGGGATGTTTTGCGGGAAGATCAACACACCCAAACGCTCTATGCCGATGTGTTGGGGTTGTGCCAGCATGGTTTAGTTGATGGCCTTTCACGTCTTAGTTGGGATTATGTTCATTTTTAGATTCCATGTTGCACATGTTTAAGACACTCTCCCCCACTATTATATAGAACATAATGAGATAGATCCTCACAGCAGAGTTAGAAGATGAAGCCCTTCAACGTTGGCACGTTGTTTTTTGGGTGAGTTCGTGCGCTTAGAATTCAACTCAGTTCAGTTGCAGCATATTTCTGTCGATTTGTTTCTGGCTGGGTGGCCACTCGGCCAGGGCTCGGTGGAGCAGCTCCGCAGCCCCCATGTGGCCCCTGAAGATTGACCGCTTCCAATCACCGCGATGGTGACTCCCAGCCGTGCCCCGCAAGTCGCTGGACCTGGGGACCCCGGGGCGTCCGAGTCAGTCCAAGTGTCTCGCAGGAGAGGGCGATATCATTCCTTCCATATCGTCAGTGAGGACTGCCGTGCGCAACGCCAGTGGCACAGGGCGCCCGCAGGATCCAACCGAGTTGTTGGTCGAAAGGTTGTTTGGAGCCCTTGGTTTGACACGGCCATCCACAAGCCCCACATTCATTCTATGTGTAGGAGTCCGGGGACTTTCATTGGCATGCCCATTGAGACATGCAAAAGACAGATTCGATGAAAACCTTTCGATCTCAACTCTTAAGATCAGGTTCTAGCAGCCGGTTGGAGCATTCTAGCAGTATGGTGACCCGGCAAAATATGGATGGAACCGTCGTTCCTAGGCCCCTCTGACTCGTCGCGCACGAAGATTCGAAGACCCACCGCTTCCACCGGCGACCAGGAGTTCGAAAAGAACGGGCCCACGCGATTGGAGAAGGAACAGAAGTGCCTTGGCTCAGCCAGTGCCCTGAACTCAGTCACGACTGACTAATTAGAGTTCTTTTGATGACCAGCTGTCGTGATCAGCTGGAGCTGTGGCTCCAGCTGTAGTGAGTTTGGAACCGCAAGAAAACATCCTCCAGGTACAGGAGCTGATTCGGTTGTGCGTTTGATCTCTTTTGCCCCATGGATGATTGCCCAAGCGGTGGTGAAAAAAAAACCGCTCAGGTCCTGGTAGGTGATCCTTTTTGTGGATCCTTTTCCGAGAATTCTCCATGTGTTCAGTTCCAGAAGTATTTAGTTGCGTGTTGAACGGTCCACACCTCATCCCCTTAACTGCAGGGTGGAGTAGTGGCCCGCCGGAGCCGGAGATTGAACCCGATAGCCACTTGACCATACCTGCCCTCTCCAGAAGCATTGAGCAATGTCTTGGTGTTCCTTCTTGACACCCCGGACCCTAAGCCAAGGAACACATTGTTAAAAGCCTCAGGTTGATCCCATAGCTTGGAATATCATCGCCAGCCTCCTTTCAGTTGCAAAAACGTGCAGAAATCCATAGAAAATCAGATTAAAGTCAGTCTCCAAACCAGACCCAGCACGACCCCCACTGTTTGTAAACTCCTCGCATCGCACCGGGGTCCTTCCAATCTGCGCCGAAACCTTCGCTGGAAACCGAACATGCCATCGGCCGCGTTCGGCGATGAACGCCCAGGTTTGCGGTGAAGTCCGCACTGATCAGCATGGCGATGCTGATGTTTAGCTGTATGTCCTTTGCGCCTGGGCTTGAACTCGTAGCAAGTCATGGAAGGTGCGTCATGGAAGCATGGAGAAAGAGATATGTTTGAAACAAAATGTAACTAAACTTGTAGTATAAGGTAGTATAGGGTAATAAGTATGTATAAGGACAAGTTGTTGTAAAGTCGCCAGAAACCAGAAGCCAGGGCACTTGTGAGCACCACCAAATCACCATTTAGGATAGACCATGAGGCAGGCATGGTTTAAAGAAACACCATTCAGTATCATGTGGATTCACTCGCCCTGTGGATTTGCATGGAACGAGTTTTCACACCCAAGGATGTAGTCGCACGTCCGCTGATGGCACCACAAAGGTGTGAGTGGAATCCGGAATTCCGATGTCATCGAATTCGGGCAGACGTGGTGCACAAAGCGTAGCTCCTCGATTTACTTAGATCTACTTAGCCAACTAGATCACGGTTCCCAGTGTGGTACACAGATCGGATGTTCACTGCCCCCAACGGCCACTGCCCTACACGGCCGGCCCAGTGCAGCCCAGGCGCTGCCGACCATATTCAATTCATATCCTTCAGATGACAGCAAGTCCGTACTCAAGGCAGGGATTCTTGGTGAGTCATCCCGCACCGGCCTGTCAGTATTTGTGAAGGTAAACCATGGTCTGGTCGTGGGTGTAGACCAGACCTGGGGGGTGATTTTCATGTATCTATTCACCTGGGAGAGAGCTTTGACATATATATATATATATATTCACTACATGGTTCCGAACTGAGGGGTGACCTCACTTTTGCACCCAAAACATATGCAACACGCATCACATCCCATCACCCAAAAACATTTAACAACAGCTTGGTCATCAAACTGAGTGCACTCAATGGAGCTGACCTTCACAAAGTGTTGACGAGCGCAAGCCCATGCTTATGCAAAAAACAATGAGTGGTGCAGCTGCGTGGTGTGTCCATGTAATATGTTGCACCAAGCCTTATTAGCCAATGTGGCCACACCTGATGTCCCGGTCTTATTCTTCTTCTTCTTCTTCTTCTTCTTCTTCTTCTTCTTCTTCTTCTT